CCCTCCCCCCCCCCCTCTTTTTGGAAATTTATTTCGTTTTGTGTCAAATTCACGAGGGGGAAGGGGGATTAGGTCCAGAGGGGGTTCGGGGTTCGGTTCTGCTCGGAGTTTTTTTTTTGTAATCGGGGGAGAGAGCGTTTCGAACGGGTTTTGACAGGGGCTCCTGATTAAATTAAATGGCCGTTAAATGGTGGAGGTAAGCTGTGACCCCCTCCCCTCCCTCTACCCCCCTCCAGTTCCGACCGGCACTTTTTCACTTGTAACTTATTAATTTAGTGAAATTAAGTTTAGTGATTGGATTTTCTGTCGTTTACTCAGATTTGACACTTGAATTCCACTCTCAGTACTCGCTCCTTTGAGTAGCGAATGGGTACCAATTGATTTTGCTGCCGTGCTAAGGAAACACGCCGCACGAACATTCTAGAGTTGCCAAATGTCTCCCGATAAAGAGGAGAGTAATAAATATTTTCTCTTGAAATCTTTAGGTAATTTAGATCTTGTCGTCAATAAAATTCTCTGACAAATTGGAGGAAAAGCTTTCTCAGATTTCCTTGAAAATTCGTATTTTATTAAAGAAAATTCGGCAACTTCTGAAAGCTCATACGGCGTTCTTTCTTAGCACGACTGTATACATCTCTGCGAGCTGTTTGCTTATTGTTGGTACCGACTCTGCAATTATTCATAATTCGAATTAATGTAGAGCTGATGATTTTTTCCCCAGTTCCTCATTTTCATTACTCACCATATCCACCAATGGCTGTTCGACTCACGTGATGTGTAATTTAATTTTTTGTGTGTTACAGAGCGGTTGCAGCCTATTTGCGTGCGCTGAATCTGAGTCCCAACAATGCGGTCGTCCATGGAAATCTTGCGTGTGTGTATTACGAGCAAGGGTAAGTGGAAGAAAAAACTTATTTTATATTGACGTATTTATGCTAAAAGGAACTACAGCAAAAGCTCGTTAAGACGAAATACGGTTAAGACGAAAATCCGCTGAAGACAAAATTTTTTTCGGTCCCTTGACACTTCCATAAGATTCAATGTAAAAAAAATACGGATAAGACGAAATTTCGAAATTTTGACCCGTAACCAAAGCCGGTTAAGACGAAGAAAAATTTCCGATTTTTTCCCCTGAAATTGGATAAAAACGACAAAAAAGAGCCAATTCTTAGGGAAAATAGACTTAGTTTTACGTACCTTGACATAAAAAGAGTAGGTTGAGAGTAGATCGTGGGTATCCTCTGTTTTGCTGGATGACTGAGATGCAATCGACAGCTGACGATAAACCGATTTGCGTATTTTAAAAAAATTCAAAATTTGGATTTCGTATTGTATACAATTTAAACATTTAAAACTGATAGATAATAATCTTTCAAAAAGTCATTCACTTAAAAAAATGTTTAATTTTAGTTTATGTGGATTTTAAAAGCTGCCCGGATATTAAAACTGCTTCCAAATTTTGTAGGCTGTTGAAAACTGTATCGTATCGTCCACGTCATTTTGACCGAAAAAGTGAAGAATGTCCTAAGTTTGTCCAGTGATTTTTGAGCCTCCGCGACACACATTGGTCGGACATCATTTTCTTCACCGGCACTGTTTTCATCCTCACTTTCACTGTTCACACTTTTAAGATGACTTTCAACTAAATCTTAAATCTTATGCCGAAAAATTTCGTCTTAAGCGGAGAACGGTTAAGACGAAAAGCCGCTTGTGACGAAATTTTTTTCGGTCCCTTCAATTTTCGTCTTAACGAGCTTTTACTGTATTTCGCATGCAGAACCTACGCACATAGTTCCTTTTAGCATGAATACGTCCATTTTATATCTATATTGTTATTCACATTTATCTCCAGCCAAAGCGCAATTTTCGATTTCGATTTTGTCGAGAGGAAATTTGTTTTTCTTTCTTTCATTTCTATTTTTTCGAAGATGTTCATTCTCTTGCTATGAGAACTGAAATCATGCAACGCCACAAGGACAGATATCAAGACACCTTCATTGTTATAACTCGGAAGAAATCTATCTTTATCGCTAGCTTTAATGAGCTGTCAAATGAGGGCATAGAGGACAAGGTGCGTAAGTGCATTTTGCTATTTCGAGAATTACGTGTTTGAAGTTTTAAAATTACATAGATCCTAATGGCGGAAAGAGATTTCAAAGTGACTTTTTGATGCTTAAAAATTGTTTGGGAGTGAATTTTTCACAGAATATGCTTTAAGACTAGTTTTACTTGAAATCATTAATATCTCAATTTCTTAAAAAACTGCACTTATGTGCCTTGTCCTTCAAGCCCTCAAATGTATGTCGACGATGGAACTTCCAAACCACTAACATATCTCGTTTGCGGTGTTGACAAATCTCCGCTACTATTTTATTTTTTCAATTGACAGGATTAATATCGATCCTTGAAGTTTCTTCAGAACTTGCTTCGTACAGAGAAGAAAAATCACGGAAGTTTTTAAGAATTGACGTTAGGTAATTTTTCATCGTAAGAATAATGTATGACCGGAAGTCTGGAACTTCGTAAACCATGATACGTGGTTTTGGGAGTTCCACTGTCGATGTGTACCTTGCTGTATGCTTAAGTATTTATTTTAGGTACAACATTTGAATCATACTGCGATTATTTGACAGTTTTTTTATGATTTAAGAACAAGCAAGAACTCCTCCGTGATTTTCTGAATGTAAAATTAAATTACTGTAGACAGATTTTTTTTTTTAGATTTAGGGCTTAACTCGCTGCTTAATTGAAAGTCGAGTTTGAGTCGAATCATGTGGGTTGGCACCGAAGAACAAAATATGTCTCTGTCATTCCTTGATGTGATGCCATGTCAAATCTTAATAGTGAATATTTTATGTTTTCGATTTCAGGTTAATCGATCTTGCTATTGACACCTATCGCAGAGCAATAGAATTGCAACCAAATTTCCCTGACGCCTACTGTAATCTTGCCAACGCTTTAAAGGAAAAAGGACAGGTGAGTTTGCACCAATATTGATGGTACATAGCCATTATACACCTCCTAGTAATCTGAGAATGAGTTAACAAGTTTCCTGTAAATTATGCTATTTTTATTTTTCTAGGAAAGGAAATAAACTGAAAAAGATGAGCAAATAAGGTTTTGTACGTTAAGATGCTGTTCGGGAATGGGCGTCCCGCTACGTGAAGATGGCACCCTTTATACTCTGTGCTTTGCTGATGATCAGGTGGTAATAGCTCAGGACGAAGAAGATGCGAATTACATGACGCGGAAGCTAGTGGAAGTCTACCGAAAGTGGGGAATGGAAGTAAATGTGGTTAAGACGGAGAAGTTGGTTATCGGTGGTGATCAGCAAAGCATTGAACTGGAGGATGGCCGGAAGATTCTGGACTGTGAAAAGTATAAATATCTAGGAGTTTGGTTAACTAAGGACAGAAATTTGGATCGGGCCATTAAAGATCGGAATGTGCAAGGCAGGAAAGCTATCGCGATGCTAAATGGGGTTCTCTGGGACCAGAGTATCTCCAAGAAGACCAAAAGAAAAATTTACAACGTCATCGTGAAGAGTATCGTAACTTACGGGAGTGAGGTCTGGCAACTCAAGAAAAGAACTGAAGTCATGCTTAGGGCAACCGAGATGGACTTTTGGCGAAGGTCTGCTGGGATATCGAGAAGAGAGCGTATCCGCAATGAAAGGGTACGCGAGATAATGGGTGTGGAAAAGGACATCGTGCACGATATCAGGTCCAAGCAGTTGGTCTGGTATGGATATGTGCGAAGGATGGCAGATGATCGGTTGCCCAAGCAGGTCTTCGATTGGGTTCCTCCCGGAAGGCGACGGCGTGGACGTCCTGTGAAAGTTTGGCGACAAGGGGTGGAGGAGGAGATCAGAAGGTGCCAATTGCCTGATGATCTCTGGGAGGATAGGGGGCAATGGCGATTGGGCGTCGTAGAGCGCGAGGCGGCGCTATAAAAGCGACTTTATGTATGTACTTTAAAATTGTGTCCAGACCCCAGTTTTTATCACGAAACCAATCAAACTGGCACAGGGTCCAGTGGCGTGGCGTGCTTTGTGATTTATCAATTGGTCTGCCATTTAAAATGGAAAAGAATTGATAAACAGGGTGTTCGCAACGAACTTCTTAATTGATCTTTTACTGTAGCTTCAAATGGGGAAATGTCACTAAATGATCATTCACGCCTCGCCACTGGTAGGATCAAGTTTCCACTTCTAGTTTGATTAATATTCGCATTTATAAGCTAAAAACGAGCCTAAAGTAGCTTGTATCATCTAGACTGTTAAGGGTTTCAAAAATTTTAACCTTCTTGTTCTAGTTTCTACTTCATTTACTCTTGTTCCTTAAGCTGTGTACATATGAGTGTCTTAGTCTCATTTTCAACTCCGTTTTGTTTATTTATCATTATACAGTAATATTGATTTTATCTTTTGATTTCATCCATTTTTTATTTTTGTTAACAGGTTCTTGAAGCGGAAGAATGTTACAACACAGCTTTACGTCTATGTCCCACCCATGCGGACTCCTTGAACAATCTCGCGAACATCAAACGCGAGCAAGGCTACATCGAAGAAGCCACGAGGCTTTACCTGAAAGCTTTGGAGGTGTTCCCAGAATTTGCTGCCGCGCATTCAAACCTGGCATCTGTTCTTCAGCAACAAGGGAAACTGAACGAAGCCCTGATGCATTACAAAGAAGCAATCCGCATCCAACCCACTTTTGCCGATGCCTACAGCAACATGGGAAATACGCTGAAAGAAATGCAGGACATTCAGGGAGCCCTCCAATGCTACACTCGCGCAATTCAAATAAATCCAGCCTTTGCAGATGCTCACAGCAATTTAGCTTCCATCCACAAGGTACTCTTAATTTCTTAGCATTTAATTCAATCAACTTTAAAGTGAGTCCTTAGGTTTTTGTTCAGAGTATTGCCACCACTTTGATGTATCGAAGATTATAGTCATTACAAGTTCAGACTTTGATAATCATGACTTAATTTTCAATGTTCTTTGTTGAAAAGCTAGCTTTTTTCAGAAAATCATCTTTTAAAGTAGGAATTAGATGAAAATTAGAACCAGTACTTACTTCCGAACGAATTTATTTTGAGGCTAACATTCCAAAATAATCTATGTGAGGACTGAATTTTTGATTTCTTCAAAGCAATCCATAAAATGGTTAAATTTAAAGTATACCTATCTAGCAAGTACGAATCCTTCTTCACTTTTGAAGAGAGGCAATCAAAATGTAAGTCCAGGGAGTATCCTTCGTACCATCGGGAGCAATTATAGCTTCTAGTGGTGTGTGAAAAGGTTTAAAAAGTATTGGTGATACTTAACCTGAAGAAAACCCGTTTCAAAATGAGCCTCACCAAAAATTTGTTGTACAAATAATTTTGACCCTAAAAACTTAACTTTTAGCTCCACAACAAAAAGTACAGTCTTCTCTCGCTATAACGACACTCATTACAAGGAAAATCTCTCTTTTGTGAAGGAATCGCCCGGTCCCTTGAACGATTTTCTCTCTATAACGACACTCATTATAACGAAAATCTCTCTTTTGCGAAGGAATCGCCCAGTCCCTTGCGGATTCATTATAGCGAGAGTACTGTATCTGAAAAAAGTGAAAGAAGTGTCAAAATAATTTCATGCGTTGGGTATATTATTATATGAGTGAAACAAGATTTCTAAACGAGTTCATAATGACCGTTGACATTGGAATTCCAACATCGTAAATTTTACATTTGCTTATAATGACAGACGCATTTTAGGACAATTGGCTTCTTCTCTCACGTTTAACTCTGCGTTCTCAGATGTTACATTGATTTATTGTTATCATCAAAGGTCATTAGGTCTCAATCATTTTAAGACATCTCAATCTTTTTTTTGTGTTTTTGCAGGATTCAGGAAATATTCCAGAAGCCATCCAGTCCTACAGAACTGCTCTGAAGTTGAAACCCGATTTCCCAGACGCTTACTGCAATCTAGCTCACTGCCTGCAAATAGTCTGCGACTGGACAGATTACGAAGCCCGAATGAAAAAGCTTGTTTCCATTGTTGCTGAACAGCTAGAAAAGAACCGTCTTCCATCCGTGCACCCTCATCATTCGATGTTGTATCCCCTGTCGCATGAGTTCCGCAAAGCGATTGCGGCCAGGCACGCCAACCTTTGCTTGGAAAAGGTATTACTTTTATTTTTCACTCATAATTTGGACCAAGTTGAACAGGAATTTTCGAGGTTGAATCAAGTTTCAACGGAGAAAACTATGTCGAAGTTTCATTCCTCTCCATAAGACTCAATGCCCAGGGAAAATTTTATGGGCTTTATCCATGTTCAAAATATTTTTCTCCGACTTTTAATTTTTGACAGGAGATAATTTGTAACCACATTAGTTGAATTCAAAACTACTGCTAACTCTTTTTTTTCTCACAATGCTACTTGGTGCATTTCTGTTTTTGATCCATTTATAATACAGACTCACATACTCTGAAGTATACTTTTTTAAGCTCTACACATTTCAGTTATGCTTTCTTTTGCCTCATCCGACTCATGAGTTCAAGTCGACTCATCAAGCTATCTCTGTGGCGCCAAGCATTGCTCTTGAGGCTTTCACAATCTAATGCATTATGGACTTGATCTCTTCTAGAAATTCCTACCAACCTCCTCCAGAAATCTGTCCCTATTGCTTCTAGCATACTCTAGATATCTTTAAAATCCAAGTTAGGAGGATGTATCAAATTTAATACTAAGATGATTATAATTATTTTCTTTGTTTTAGATTCACGTTCTGCACAAGCCAGAGTACAAATTCATCAAAGAACTTGCTCCAAATGGCAGGCTCCGTATCGGCTATGTATCGTCAGACTTCGGGAATCATCCAACGTCCCATTTGATGCAGTCAATTCCAGGTCTTCACACCAGGTCTCGTGTTGAGATTTTCTGCTATGCTTTATCCCCAGATGACGGAACCACTTTCCGCGCCAAAATCGCTCGAGAGGCAGAGCATTTCATCGATTTGTCGCAGGTTTGTCCTTTTACTTCATCCTCAGAAAAATAATTTTTTTCCATCTCTATCAGCAATTTCAAATTGTACTCCTGTAAATACAGAAACAATCAATATTTTCTTCCTCTTGTATCTTTATGGAATTATATTGTAAAATTTACTCAATCAAATTAAGCCCTTAAAAATGAAGAAAAAAGAAAAAAAATGTCTCACTCAAATCAGTCTGAGTCTGAGGAATTTTTTGAAAATTTCCGCAGAAACCAAACAAAGTTTATTGAAATGTAGTAGCAACCAAGCCTTTCAAATGTGGTAAAAATTTTGATTAAGTCAGAGTTTTGGACAGTCTGGAAAACCTGAAACGTCAGGGAATCTTGCGAGTAGCACATCAGCTCAGTAACTTTTTGCAATGGGCCTGTTGCAAACTTTTGCTAGAGCAAAAATAAGAGTTGTTTCTTATAGATAATGCCTCAAAAATTACGATGAGCGCATCGGCAAAGTCTGAAATGCACTCATAACTTCACAGTCTGCGTAAGAAATTTGCGGTTTTTTGAGCTTCCCGCTTCAAAACGATACTACGGCACAGGTGAACATTTTGTAAGAGGAGTCGTTCCATCGTCGGCAATACTCATCATGGCCGACGCCAATCCGCCGAAACACGTGTGATGGGACGAGATAATACCTGAACTGGATTAGACCAGATAACAATCGGCGTGTTTTAACGTTCATGTTTTCCACGCCCGAATTGATTGACCTTGAACTCTCCTCGAATTACGCGCGGAACTGCGCGCAAGTGTCGGGCATGATGAATATCGCCGACGATGGAGCGACTCCTCTAACAAAATATTCACCTGTGCCGTAGTATCGTTTTTGAAGCGGGAAGCTTAAAAAAACGCAAATTTCTTACGCAGATTGTGAAGTTATGAGTGCATTTCAGACTTTGCCGATGCGCTCATCGTGATTTTTGAGGCATTATCTATAAGAAACAACTCCTATTTTTGCTCTAGCAAAAGTTTGCAACAGGCCCATTTTCATTGGAGAGAGTGGGAACAACCTACAAGTGCTTTTTTTATAATTTATTTCTGTAGAAGTCGAAATTTTTTCAAAAGTTTAATGATAAGTTTCGTTTAAGACCAGGGAAAAACAAGGATCTCAGAAATTTTGGATTCAGAGAAAAGCAGTAAAAGTGAAGTAAAAGTCGTAGAACTGGAAAGTGAAAAGGTTATGGAACCCCCGCCTAGTGATTTGATATCAAATGGCTATTTCACTGTCCGCAAGAGCTTTACCCATCAGAAAAGAATAATTTTCTTCAGATGCATTCATGTTGTACATTTTGAAAGGAGTTGTGCTCTGATACCTGTGCTACAGCATGCTTAAGATTCTCACGTATTCCTCTTTATTTTTAGGTTCCATGCAATGGCAAAGCTGCCGATAAGATCAACGGTGATGGCATACATATTCTGGTCAACATGAATGGATACACAAAAGGTGCACGAAACGAAATCTTTGCCCTCAGACCGGCTCCAGTTCAAGTAAGTTCCTTCACAATATAAAACCATTTCTGAAGTTATTCAACACAGACAATCTATTTCAGGGATTCCAAACTTCTAGTCTAATCAATGTAATGGGGTGTTTCTAAAACTAAATTCTGATATCAACACTATGTTTTATGTAATTATGATATATGAGCAAAGTGAGCAGCTATCGGTCAGCGATGACTGATACGTGTAATACAAAGTAGTGTTGGGACAAGATTTTGACCGAACCCTCTCGAGGCTTCGGATTTGGAATTCAGTGTCGAAATGCTTGAACCTGAATCCGAATCTGCCGAAATTTCAAAATTCGCGCCATGAAACTGAATCCCGAATAAGTAAATATTGGTATAAATACTCACCACGTCGAAATATCGCAACCAGTATTTGTTTACCTGCGTAATAATAAGTAAAAGTACTGAGTTTCTGAAAAGTGAAGGATTCGCGATGGATTCGGATTCAAGGATTTGAAACTCAAATCTTGGGATTTGGATTTGGGTAAATTTAGGATTCGACCCAACACTAATACAAAGTAAATTTGTAAAACTAGGATAAAAGTTCTTGTTAACTGCATTCCAAGTTCAAAGTGTTCCAATTAAAATACAGCTACCTTTCTATGGAAAATGAAATTATAAGATCTCTGGTGAAAAATCTATTGAATATCTGATTTGGACTGCGGCAATTTTTTTTTTTTTCCCCCCCCGGTGGAAAATTATTCTGAGAGAAGTAAGGTCCTTTTGCGAAGTCTTCTCCCTGGAAATCTTCCAGTTATTTTCTGACAAAACGAAAAAAAGTAATTACAAAAGAGCTTCAAACCTTTCTTGATAGGATCTAAGTTCAAATTTTGATTTTAACAATTTTGAACATTTTTTTTCACAGGTCATGTGGTTAGGTTACCCCGGCACCAGTGGTTCTCCATTCATGGATTATCTTATCACAGATAGAGTAACCTCACCTCTGGAACTAGCCTCGCAATACAGTGAAAAACTAGCCTACATGCCACATACTTTCTTCGTCGGAGACCACAGACAGATGTTCCCTCATCTCAAGGAACGACTCATTCTTGCTGAAAAGGTTCGTGCCTGGCATTGTCCATCATTTGACATCTCTCAAAAACTGTCAAGACTTCTTTTTATAAAATATTTTCATTTTGGTTATATTAAGCAGTAGAAAACAAAGTGTCTCATCAAGATCTGCCATTTAGTCAGTCGGCAAAGATAGTGTGATCAGTTTGCTCTTTGTTTTTTTCTACAAGTTGAATTTCCATCTTGAGCAATCTTGAAAAAAGACCACCTAGTTACTCGGGTAACTTTATTACCTTTCTATGATTTAATCTAGTGCTGTTTCATAGAAGTGAATTAAATCACATTTATGGACAGAATTAAAGGAAGGTATGAAGGTACTCACTGAGGTACCTGTTGTCAGATTGTTATATCTTGAAAATTTTAGTTGCTTGAAACAGAAAAAGTTCCAATATTGTCTTGTACTCTCGCATCATCTCCTGATCCTTTCAAACTCAAACCTATCGATGCTCTTAACTAAATTTATTTAGGTAAATCACCATTTGTCAGGTTTTTCCCTTCTGTTATATTTATTCTGCATGACATTCTTTCATGTTGGTCTCATTTTACTTTTCTTTTTACCCACAGACAACCATCGCTGGAAAGGAAGTTGCTGATAATGTTGCGGTTATAAATGCAACGGACTTGTCACCCATGATCGAACATACACAGGTGAAGGAAATCAGAGAAGTCGTTATTCCCAGCGACCCAGAAACCAAGCAAAACCGTCCAGTGGAAGTCAGTCTGCGTGTTGCTGAGTTGCCAACAACAACACCAATTGAGGTAACCATCTACTGCCACTGGTTTTTTGCTGAGTTAACAAATTGCCTTTCAACTGGTCTTTGCATATATGTTCCTGAAAAAGTTAGGAATCACAGGAAGAGAGAAAGGAATAAATGTGACAGCTGCAAACCAACATTACTCAAAATTTCCTCGCCATTACGCCAACATTTCCTCTCGATTATATAAGTAATATGTACATGGTAGACTTGCAGATACTTTTACTGCTGAATATGGAGAGGGCTTCTATTTTTTCTATAATGCGGAAACTTTCTAGAAAAACAAATTACACTTTTAGTTAACGGCATGAAGTTACGGGTTAGTACTTGAAGAAAATAAAGTTCACATATCCTTTTCTTTCGCAGTGAAATTATTGCTGATAATTTCTCATTTTCAGTTCTATCTATACAAACTATCAAGGTGAAAATTCAGGGAACTCTTTTTTTTTCTGTTGAGTCTGCAGACACCCTGATGGTGCGGTTCATACATGAAAGTTTGCCCAATGGAATCAATCATTCTACAAAAGACCAAGTGCCAAAATTTTAAGTACGAGAAAAACCAAAAACGTTTAAATCAACCTTTTCCAAATCTCATAGCTCCAAAATATTAAATTGTCTAATTGATAAATCACATTTTTACTTAATCCAAGATTTAAAACACGCCAATTAATACAGTTTCTACTGTTTCACTGCATGTTCATCTGTGGCGCTTAAGTCTTTTTGAGAATGACCAATGCAATTTTTTTTTTTTTTTTTTCCCCTTTATTAAGTAATGATACATAATATTAACAAGTTTAATATGGACTAATAAACATTAACTTTAAAATTATATTGATTTACTTAACAAAGACCCCGGAACCGCTTGGTAACATTACATCGGGGGGGTTTTTGGCTGTTAAAGGGGTAGAATTATTAATCTTATTGCTAGAAGTCTTAAAAAATGATATCTTATCTTCTACTGTTTCTTTTATGTATCTATAGCCTAAGTTCCATTTTTCCCTACTCTCTAACATTAACTTTAATAAATTATGTGCATTAATATTTTGTTTCATTTCTAATTCTAACTTACCCCTACGATCAAAATTAAGATTACATTAAAAGAAAGCATGGTTTGGAGTGTCTATTTCGCCGCATACACAATTGGAAGAATCGATTACATGTCTTTTATTGACCAATTCAATTAAGGCCCATTTTCACAGTTTTTCAAGTGGAACAGTGAGAGGAAGTATTGTTCAACGGATAAACTAAAGATTTTAAAGTAGGAGAACAAATTTTACCTATAACACAATTTTCCTCTGCAGAGCTTCAATTTTGTGCTTCTCATTTTTGCTTGGAATCTAATCGAATGTTATGAATATACCTATTCCTTTCATATTTCAGACGATGATCGCTTCCGGTCAAGTTCAAACAAGCTTGAACGGTGTTGTGGTGCAGAACGGTCTTGCCACAAACCAAACCAACAACAAGGCAGCCACCGGGGAAGAGGTACCACAGAGTATCGTCATCACCACTCGGCAGCAGTACGGCCTCCCTGAAGATGCAGTTGTTTACTGCAATTTCAACCAGCTGTACAAAATTGACCCCCTTACCCTTCAGATGTGGGTTAAAGTAAGTACCTCTCAACTTGATGGCTCTCTGATTAATTGTTTTTCTTTTGTAAAATTCAACACTCAGTTTTCTCTCAGATGTATTAAACATTGATGACTGAACTTGGAAACATTGTATCTCCATTATGACTGGGACATTTTGTTGGGTATTTTCATCAACGTTCTCTCTGTTGGGAAGATGAATAAGGAAATTTGGAGAAAAAAAATTTCGAACTTTATGTTTTTACGAAAACAACGCCATTCATTTGTGCCCCCCAGAATTGAAAAGCCAAAATCAATTCACGCCATAGCTGCAACCAAAAAGTTGAACTGAGTCAATTGACAGCCATTTTGCCTTGTGACTTAAATGACAAATTCCTAAGAAAGTATGTGAAATTAAGGTTAATTTCACTGTCCTAGTTGAGTCCTTAATATGGGAAGGTTCTGTTTCTGAATTTGTGATACACATTTTCTGTCCCACAATTATTAAGGAAAACCAATGAAGCCCTCTGAAGTGTGCTCTGAACTGTTGTGTTGTCCGGCTCAGAATGTTTCACCTTCTAAATTGAGCATATTTTTTAATTATCTTTGAACTCTTGCAGATTCTTCAAGCCGTGCCAAACAGCGTTCTGTGGCTTTTGCGCTTTCCAGCTGTCGGTGAAACCCACCTGCAGGCCTCAGCTCAAGCACTCGGCTTGGCCCCAGGTAGAATACTGTTCAGTAATGTAGCCGCGAAAGAAGAGCACGTCCGAAGAGGTCAGCTGGCAGATGTTTGCTTAGACACTCCTCTGTGCAATGGCCACACCACATCAATGGACATTCTATGGACTGGCACTCCAGTTGTCACACTTCCTGGTTAGTAATGAAGTATTATATAAAGTATTTTGTGCAAGAAAAAAACACTAAAAAACATACAGCGATTATATATTTTGCAATAAATGTAGTATAAGTTAATGTAAGAACTAAATTTTGTTTCCAGTGAATCCGTTTTTCTCAGTTTTTAAGGCTTGAAAGTACCCCTTTAAATTAATGAGTGCGGTCATTTCTTGACAAAAGGCGTTACTGAACAAAACTCACTCTTAATCTACCTGGAAATTTTTATCCCAAAGTGATCCTTCAAACAAAGTTATTTGGTTTCATTGTACTCAAATACTTCATCCAACTTGAATGATTTTGGTGCATTTAATGATTACCTTAGTTTTGAGGTTTGTGAATAGTCACGATACAAACTCTTTAACTGCCTCTCATGTCTTTTTGTAACAAATTTATAATGATTGCTAACTGTTTCAAATTTTAGTATCATTGGATGAGTTTAAGGAGTATTTTTAAAGTATACAAAGCTTTTAATTTTTGGCCAAAATAAATCTTGAGGGAATTAAGTAAGAAGTGTGGTGGTCAAGGCCAGTTGGTTGGCAAGTTAAGTAACGGCATGGAGCTTTATTTTTGTGGAGTTGAAAAGTGCTCTCCTGCAGTGGTGGGGCATGAATCATCAACTATCGATATTTCCCCATTTGAAGGTATAGTAAAAAATCGATTTATCGCAAAGCACGCCACACCATGCCACTGCTCTCTTGAAACTCGAAGTTAAACAAATCCGTTTGAAATTCATCAACGGGTAGCGAATTGTTGATTTGCTCCCGTGTTGCTCTCTCTGAGCAGTGAGAAAAAATTAAATCATTATGTGCATTGAAATTGCATCTTTTTAGGTGCCCTCCAGATTCTGCCCTGCAGATGCCAACATATTTTACTCTTTCATAAATTTTGTTTGAATTTCCTTCTGTATCAATCATCTCTTCAATTCATGTTTGTTTCCCTGCTTAGGTGAAACGCTTGCTTCCCGAGTCGCTGCTTCTCAATTGGCAACTCTCGGCTGTCCGGAACTTGTTGCCCGATCTCGACAAGAATACCAGGATATCGCCATCCGACTTGGAACAGACAAAGAATAGTAAGTGTTAATATCTTTCTCTTTACACCAGGTCACGTATTAACATCACATCAAAGTGTTGCTTAGCTTAATATTAAACTCGCTCTTGGACTGAATAGGAGGAGTTTTGCAAATTTGTTTGTTTGGTCCATTTTATTCTACTACATATAATAGTATATACCAATTCCAAATGCAGTTTAAAAATTCATAAAATTTTCCCTCACTTTTTTGGCCCTGAAAATTTCATGATGTAAGTACCTAGAGATTGTGTTCGTGCCATGACATGAAAAGCTGTATTTCCTATTGACGAGTCCTTCATTTTATACATTTTGGTTGATTGGTGACCAAAGAAGTCTAGGAATTTCAGTCGTTTCGGTTTGGAGGAAAATACCTACTAGTGTAATGTAAATCTTTCTGTTCTGATCAATTAAGACAAAAAAGAAATAGGGATGGGGATAATGGAGAAAAAAAGAAATGAATAAAACCAGATTTCTGATTATTAAGCTCTGTACATTTTAAAAGAGTGTCTACAAGTCCAGGAATAGTACTGATTTTTAAGGGCAGTCTGGAAATACTGAAAAAAGGCAGAAATTCCCTGAGAGGGTCCGAAAATTTTTTCATTTTTTTGTCATTTTTATTGAAATTTGAGCAAGAAATTCAAATTTTTGACATTTTTCAAATTGCGTCAGATGGAGGTACTGAAAAAGAACTGAATGTTTCTGCTGAGGAGGGACTGAATTTCCTAGGAATGTACTGACAAAATACTGATTTTCGGCCAGCCTGGTTTCAATTAATTAAACCGAGATGCATGAAAGAATGGACTTAGCTTAGTTAGTAATCTCAGAACATGAATCAATGAAAGAACCTATCATTTAATTCATGGAAAAGTTTAACCATAAGTATTTTAAATTTTCTTCTTTTCTTTTCAGTTTGAGAGCAATGCGTGCTGAAGTATGGAGAGCCCGAACCGAAAGTCCTCTCTTTGATTGTCGACAGTATGTTCTCGGCATGGAGAAGCTCTACCGAGTGATGTGGGACAGGCATATCGCAGGCCACAAACCAGACCACATCACAGCCAATGATCCACTGATAAACAAACAAAACGCTAGGAATCAATCAGACTTGTAAATAGCTGCGAAAGCAATCTGTACATAAGTTTTTAAAGTTTATTTTAAATCTGTTGAGCATTCTTTGCAAGTATGTACTATGAAAATGCAGCTTTCTTAGATTTTTGGGATAAAAACCTGGGTTGATGATGATGCTAGACCCTATTAACAACAAATAAGTTTTATTTTACTTATCGAATCTGTATTTTATTTTTATATTTCATGAATTGCTTCAACCCAATATTTTTCATTGGTTTTCCATCTGAACTGGAGCGAAGAGCTCACAAGAATTTATGCTATCATGTTCCTCTTTTCTTTTCTTTTTTAATGTGAAATTATTTGTAGCCTCTCGTAGCTTGGTTAAATCTTCTAAGAATTGATTAATATGTTTCTTGTCATTAGGCATTTCTTCCCAGAACATGTATCTAATGTAATTAATCATCCTCTTTGTCTCCTTGAGACAAAAAATTGTGATATCAAGGCCCCCATGTCCAAATCAAAATTTCTAGCTCTTAATAATCCTAATTTTGTCCCTCTATTTTTTCTGATCATTGAACATAGAGAGCGTTGAATAATATCCTCTTCAAGCCGAAATTTGAAAGTGCGTCTTTTGTTATCACAGGACAGAACAAAGACAAGAGTGGAATGTGACTTTTTGAAAGGTTCGAACACTAGCAATGTCTTTCTGATACTGAGTCGTTCAGTGAAAGTTGATTTGATTAGATTTTCGAGAAACTTTGCCATCTTTTCACCCTCTCCTCTGAGTGAAAGGAAGTTTTAATTCGTCATATAAAAGAAATAGAACATTCAGACACATTTAGAAAAACTGAAAGTGTTTGAAATTTAAGTTTCAAGAATGACCGCTGACGGAAGAAACTTTTTTACGAATTTACGAAGCTATGACTTTTTGCATTTTATATCTAATATTATTTGTATGAGCTGCTAAGTCACTGCAGTCAGGTTTTTCGTTCCATTTTTATTGCAGAGATGCATGAATTAAAGTGCAGAATTCTCCCTATAATATGCGCAAACTGGCCAAAGATACACTTGTAGTTCAAATTAGCAAACTTAACTGCAGTTTTACAGTATCTCTCTCAAAGTACATTAAATTATAAAAAACTAAGGCATCTTGTTTTATGCTTTCTGATAGTAAGCTTCCTGAAAGTGTCTTGAATTTCTTCTGAGAGGCAGAAAAGTTGAACCTTTTTTTTTTTTCATACCATGTAACTTCTTTTAACACTTGTATGTTGTTGCATGCTTTGCTCAGCCGTGAAATTAAGACAGTTGTACTGTAATTTAATTATTTTCAAGATTAAAAGCGGATGTCAGAACGTCTAGCATTGACAGTGTACGCCTTTTAAACTTTAGACTTCAATGCCTTTGATTCTCATGATGTTCTCTCCCAGTGTGGCAATGATGCAATAGCAATATGAAAGTGAATACAATTATCACAAAATTATGCTGCTACTGCGATGGAAATATAATTGAAAGTAATTACCTATTGCTTTTTAGTGCTTTGACTCTCATTCGATTGTAATCACATGACCTGGATCAAAAAATGTATTATCAAGCATTAGGCATTTAGATTTACAATTTGAATTATGTTCTCAAAGAGTCTTTGCCACATCTAGTCGTTAATGGCAACTGTGTCCCACTGTGAAGTTATGGAGCTTCATTGTTTGATGAGTAAAAATCATTATTGCTTATTTTCCGCAAATATCCAGTTAAGTTTAGTGGGAAGTGAGGCTGTTTATCAGAGTTGATGGATGATGATAACTCAAAGAAGTTTATTATGGCACAATATTTTCTGTGGCCAAAAATTATAAACACACATCCTGACTCTGAAGTTTAAGCTCATGGAAAGTACAAGAAATTGAAGGTCAATCAGTTTTCAAATTCCTTTTTTTTTCCCTTTACTTTTTCCTCTCCTAATTGTATACTGCTTAAAGTTGTGACTAAAAGTTCATTTTTCTGTGCAGATTACCCCATTTTATTCGGAAGCTAGTTTGATTTTCAAGTTCTAGAAAAACTGAAACATGAAAGTTTACAGACCCAAACTTAGTAAAGTTCAAAACCAAGTCAATAAGTACTCTTTCATGCATACCTACATTTTCAATATTGTTGCCATTTTGCGGGCTCCTCATTCCAGCATCCATTGTGCAACTCTTGTGTCACGAGTAAGGTGTGCACTATTCAGTGTTGCGCTAAGGATGCCACAGAGTAGAACCAGCAAAACGCACTCGCAACGTTAACAATTTATGCCCAAGTGAGAACTTATCTACATGGTTTTGAACTTAATCTTTCGTGGTTCTCCATGATTATTTTCAGTAAAGTTGTTTTTTTTTGGCCACAGCACAAGGCAGTAAGACCTGCTCAAGTTAGTCATAGCGTATACCCTATCAAGTTAACTATGGCTGTTTTAAAACTCTTGAAAGACATTTAATTTCGCAGGGCAATCACGGGTGGATTGTAGCTTGCTAATTCTCGTGAAGGATTCTTGAGTGTGTCTAAGTCAATTTTTCTAATTATGTTTTTTCAACGTGTTACTCTGCAATACAGTGTGAGAGGTTATCATTTGTCGAGTCTTGTTTTCGTTCAAAATTGTGATTTTGCACTATCATTTGCATCAATGATCTCAGGAAATTATGCCTCATCAGTCATGATGGCATAGGTTATTTAAAATTAAGCCTAAAATCTATCCAATTTTGTGTTATATTCCGTTCGTTTTTTATCTAAATTTGTTGCCACTCCTCAACGTTTCAACAATAATTTAATGTTGTATATGGTATTTTACAAAGAGCATCTTTATTAGTTTTCAGATGTTGCGTTATTTTACTCTCCGAAATCGCTGGAGAGTTGTATTTCGATGTTTTTGCCTAGAATTTAGTTTTTTAATACCCATCCCTTTCCTCCTCTTTTTTATTATGTTTTTAGTGTAGTACATGAATTAAGTTTCTATTTATTTTAAAATGGAAAACCATTAAAAACAATTGAATGAATTAATGAAGGAAAAAATATTGTGAAAGCTTCTTATTTCAAATACATGTACATTAAACTGTGTTAAACAATGTTTTTTTTTTCTTTCTCAAAAATCGATGTGAAAACTTGTTTTCTCAGGAGATTTGTAGCTTATTAATCACTGTCGCAATTGAGGAGGGTTCCGGAAAAAGGGCCCATACCGAAAAATCGCGTTGTGAGAAAAACGTCATTGAAGTTTTCATTACTGTGTTTTGACCGCGAAGAGTCTTCAAAATTCAAAATGAATGTTTCATACAAGGATTCATATATCCTAGAATGAAATCAGAGATTGGCAAAAGTTGCAAATTATAATTGGACTGCGAGAGGAATTTTTAAAAAAATTCGATTATGGGCCCTTTTTCCGGAGATCCACTGATGGTAATCGGTTCTTGTGACTAAACTAGTTAAAAGCACAATTGAAACAAAAAGAAAAAGTATTATCTCTTCTAAATAACATAAAATAAATAGCTGACATCTTTGGTGGTCTGAAAACTGAAGCACTTTCCACCACAACATTCTGTCATTGACTTGAAAATTTTCCCCGAGACGGTTTTACCGGATAAAGTTTGGTAACGTGACCGTGCAGTCTTTTTAATTTGGCAGATGCCTTTATTCTGTTTGTTTTTTACCTGTTACCTGTTACCTGTGTTTACCTGTTTATTTTTTTACTTTTATGACGCTTTAATCTGTCATTATTTACAATGTTACTACCACTCTCGGACATTGCGAAAATATCATCAACGAATAGAGACGAACAACACAAACTAACTTCGCGAAAAAGGAAGAGAAATCCTCTGACACACACTAATATTATTAATATTATTCTGCGTGTTATTATTTGTGGGTGCCACTGTTGACATCTTGATTAACTCGGAAATCTGCATTTACTGATTGCAGCTAGTGATCAGTGCATTCGATGTATGTACAAAGAGGGGCTGTTATCAGTCGGATCGCTATCTGCTGGCCGGGGCGCTCGGGTCTCGCGTCATATTCTAGATGATACCCCGTTCATAGTGGTATTTAGTGGAAATCCCACGCCCGGAAAAGTGGTCGTGTGGCTTTAAAAATTGGCGAATCGATACGAAACTTTAGGCACATATAGTTTAGGGCACGGGCAATCCATTAATGCGTTTTCCGGAAAAAGGGCCCATACGCCCATGGGCCTTTTTTCCAGAACCCTCCTCAATTATAAAAAACACTTTAAAAAGAGTAAGCGTAGGTAGTTCGTGAATTTTGCGATCAATTTACACTTTTTGAAGGTCAACGATCAAAGAGCCTTGTTAAAAATGGGTCGAACTTCGCCCCTTTCTAGACTCTCGATTTGGCAAACTGGACTTGCGCCAAATTGTTGTACATGATGTCCCAAGTCTCGGGAAAAAATTTCTTCTTGAGTTAAAAAGCGGTTCCGGAGGTACGCGGGGGTTAAGTGAGGCAGCTGAGCTGTTGGCCTGCGCTCCTCCCACGAATATTCCTCGCCAAATCATCGTTTTGATGTCATCCATAACATTATATTTGATGAAATCTTTTGCGCACTTTCCATTTCTGACCTTAAAAATTGCTTAAAACCACTTTTCAAGGGGCTATGGGTTTTTTTTCCGCAGTTTTTTGAGTTCTAGTAGTTTATTTTGTATTTCCTAAAGATCTATTCGAGCCATATTTTTTCAAGTTTTTTTAATGTACCTCACACGTCTTACCAAAAAATGCATACCCATGATTTCATCCGAATATAAATGGTCACACGCCAAAATGACATGTCAAATAAGGGAACAAATCCGAAATATGCCTCGAGCAGTATATTAATCTGATACATGCAAACATTTATACTTGGATGAAATCATAGGTATATATTTTTTCGCAAGACAAGTACACATCTTACGATAAAATGTAACCTCACGTGAGGTACATTAAAAAAAACTTGAAAATATACGGCACAAGTAGACCTGAAGGAAATAAGAAATAAACTACAAGAACTCAAAAAAACTGCGGGAAAAAACCCATAACCCCTTGAAAAGTGGTTTTAAGTAATATTTTATGTCAGAAATGGCAAGAATGAAGCAAATTTCATAAGTAAACATGAACTGGAAGACACCAAAACGATGATTTGGCTAGGATCAACCGCGGAGAGAGCGCGCCGCCAGCCGTTAGACCCCCATTTTCACCCCGTAGCCACTTGAAGAGTAGTTGTAAATAATTTTTAGGGTCAGTAATAGGAAGAACGCGAAAAATTACCAAAAAAACATGTAATGAGTAACATCATTACGAAGATTTACCGAGGAACATTTGCGGAAAGAGCGCACGCCAGCTGCTCAACTCCCCCACTACGACCACCCGTATCTCCGTAACCGCCTTTTACCTCAAGCTGAAAATTTTTCCCGAGACTTGGTGCATCATGTGCATCAATTTGGCGCAAGTCCAAAATAATCCCCCATGTCTCCGTCCAAAATACTCGCCGACCATCGGGACTATTTGATGAACTATTTGATCTCTCCGGAACGCGTGAGGTATCACGCCACAATTGAAAGCGTTTTCGAATCTTCTGCGTTACATGACAAGATTTGCCAAATTGTTTTGCGTTATATTGTTGATTTGAGTTGCTCTTATTATTTAGTTAAATTTCTCCTGCATCTTAATTTTTAATTATTCTGCAAAAATTATTCCTTTCTGTAACACAATCCTGGCTTTAGCACCCTTAAACTACGGCCTTAATGGTCGAAACTGCAGTAGCGGCAGAGGAAAACCGAGAAACCAAGTGGTGACGCTACTTCAATATTAAGCTTCCATCGCCTTGCTAAGGCGCAGGGATACAACTATTTGAACTCTCCGGATCGCGTGAGGTATCGCGCCACAATTGAAGGCGTTTTCGAAGCATCTGCGTTACATGACAACAAAGCTCCACGAGTCCCTACCTTCGAGCTATCTTCTGATAACTCGCCGAGCGTCGGTACCATCTCCAATCGATTCTACGCCTCCAACTACGTACCTAGGATGCGACTGAGATCTCGAAATTTTTTTCTCCGTCCAAAATTGAGAAAAATCGACAGGGGTTACATGGACTAATTTTCTAGGGTCAAAATCGAAAGTTCGCCAATCGGGCCGAAACCAAGCAAGCTCGCTTGGAATTGACCCGCTGAGTGCGATTTTCCTATCGGAAAAGCTCCACGAGTCCCTAGCTTCGAGCTATCCGTTGAAAACGCTCAAGAGAAAGAGTCAAAAAGTGATCAGAAACACTCGTTTTTGACCATTTTTTGACTGTTTCTCGGCTCAGGAAGCCCCAGAAGGCCTGGTTTCGGCCCGATTGGCGAACTTTCGATTTTGACCCTAAAAATTTAGTCCATGTAACCCCTGTCGATTTTTGCCAGTGGAAAGTTTTGGAAAGTTGCCAGTTTCGAAAACGCCTTCAAATGTGGCGTGATACCTCACGCGTTCTGGAGAGTACGTATAGTTGTATCATTGCGCCTTACCAATGCGATGGAAGATTGGTATTAAATAAGCCTCCACGCTGCGGCCCTGTCAGTGTTGCTTTACCGCTGTTGCGGTTTTGACCGCGAGGACTAAAAGTGTTCAAGCTAGGCTTATATTACGATTTTCGATCAATTTTTAGAAGGCTTAAAAATAAACTGTTGCAGTTTTGACCGCAATGCTTAAGTGTGCTCAAGGTAGGCTTGAATTTAGTGTTCAATCTAGGCTTATATTACGCAATTCGATCAATTTTTAGAATGATTAAAAATAATCAAGCGCAGGAAGAAATATAACTAAATAATATGAACTCAATTGAACAATCAACTTAAAGGACATCCAAAAAGTACTGCATTCTTTCTGCTTTTGAGGAAAGTACATATCGACGGTGAAACTACCAAACCACGTATCTCGGTTTGCGACGTCGCAGACGTCCTGTCATACTTTATTTTTTAAATGAAAAACTACTTAACATCCAGTCTTGAAAATTTCTGTGATTTTTTCTCTTTGTGCGGAGAAAATTCCGTGAAAATTTCAAGGAATGATATTGATTTGGTCTACTTCAAAAAAATAAAATGTGAGCGTAGATTTTTAAATACCGCAAAGGAGATACGTGGTTTGGTAGTTTCACCGTCGATATACTGAGGAAGAGCTGCAAAAATGCTTAATTCTTGCTGGCCAGTTCCGGTTGACGCCTATCAATGAGACGCAAGGTTGCTAATTTGGAATGTTGGCAGTTTCGAAAACGCCTTCAAATGTGGCACGATACCTCACGCGTTCCGGAGAGTACGTATAGTTGTATCATAGCGCCTCAGCAATGCGATGGAAGATTAATATTAAATCAGCCTCAACGCTGCGGCCCTGTCAGTGTTCCTTTACTGCTGTTGCAGTTTTGACCGCGAGGACTAAAAGTGTTCAAGCTAGGCTTATATTACGATTTTCGATCAATTTTTAGAAGGATTAAAAATAAACAAGCGCAGGAAGAAATATAACTAAATAATATGAACTCAATTTAACAAAATTAAAGGCATCGAAAAAATTCTGCATTTTTTTTGCTTTTGAGGAACTTAATTTTTAGTACATGTACTGAAGAAGGGCTGCAAAAGTGCCGGCCAGTTTTGGTTGACGCCAATCAATGCGACGCAGGGTTACTGAATTTGAAAGTTGGCAGTTTTGAAAACGCCTTCAAATGTGGCGTGATACCTCACGCGTTCCGGAGAGTACGAATAGTTGTATCATTGCGCCTTAGCAATGCGATGGAAGATTGATATTAAATCAGCCTCAACGCTGCGGCCCTTTCAGTGTTCCTTTACCGCTGTTACAGTTTTGACCACGAGGACTAAAAGTGTTCAAGCTTAGGCTTATATTACGCAATTCGATCAATTTTTAGAAGGATTAAAAATAATCAAGCGCAGGAAGAAATATAACTTCTACGCCTCCAATTACGTAGGATGCTACTGAAATCTCGATATTTTTTCCCTTTCCAAAATTGAGAAAAATTGACAGGGGCGACCCGGCCCGGGGGGGCCTCGACTCTCGGCGAGGCTTCTTGAGCCGAGAAACAGTCAAAAACTGGTCAAAAACTAGTGTT